AACCGCATTCGCATGGACGTCATCATCCCCTCCTTCCCAATTTTGCACGGAGCTCAAATAGACATGGAAGTAAGCAGGCATGTGCTAAAACTCGAGTCTCGGCGCAGTGCAGACCGGAAATGAGGAAACACCGGAAAAAACGATGCGACATGCGCAACGTACACGAAAACATCCGAAAAAAACAGTGCAAAAGGGATAGCTGATATATTTTTGGCACAGTGCATCTCGGATTTTTGACCGATTTGTTGGCGAAAACACCGTAAAAACCGAGGCGAAACAAACAACACAACTTTTTGTCGGTGCACCAAAGTGCAAAAACTCGAGTTTTAGCACATGCCTACCGCGAATTTGCTCCACCCCGCGCGGCGGCAGGCGCACGTGCTGCCAACAACAGCAACCACAACCACAAGCACAACCACAAGCACAACCGCAACCGCAACCGCAACCACAACCACAACCACAACCACAACCACAACCACAATCACAACAACAACCACGACAACCGCAACAACCACAACCACAACCACCACCTCGATGCAGAATCTGAAGGATCATGCCAGCACGCATATACATGTCAAAATGTCGCCAGGTGTCGAAGATAGAGAAGCAAGTCGTGACAACGAACACGGGAACCTCTTTGATCTTGCGCACCTTCGCTTTGGAGACTGGAAGCACACACTGAGGTGTTGGTTGCAGCAGCCCCGTCAACATCAATCTTGCAGGCGCTGCAATCTGCCCAGCTCACTCACTCTGCAAGTGCTGCGATGGCAACATGCGCGTACTCTGAAGTCCGCGGCCTCCCCGGCTGGGATAGCACAAATGCAAACGGCAATGATGCAAAGTAGGTTGAACGCTGCGCTGCCTGCAAGGTGAGGGGAAGCACTGCTGCCACTTCCAGGAATGCTGCCAAGTTACTGTACAGTAGCTGCCCACTACAAAAAGTCAGAATTTGCTAGTGGCGGTGGAGCAGCACTAGCAGCTGCAGCAATGGCAGCAGCAGTAGTAGTAGCGGCAGTGGCAGTGTAAAGTGGTAGTAATAGTAGTAGTAGTAGTAGTAGTAGTAGTAGCAGCAGCAGCAGCAGCAGTAGTAGACGCAGTAGTAGTAGTAG